CCCCAAAACCCCAAAACCCCAAAACCCCATATCCTTAACAAAATTTGTTAATAAATTTTTGACTAAATGATGGCTGCAGCAGCACAAGAACAACAAGTCCAAACCCAACTGAACCGGTATGTACGAGGCCTAAAGAATGAGGGTCTTGGTAGCATTGGGAATAGGCTGATAAGATTTGTATAGATTCAAGAATAACCTTCCTGAACTATTGCAGCGTGGCCTTAGCCCTAATATCATGGATGTTGATTATGAGTTCAAAGAAGATGAAGAGGATAATGTGGACTTCTTGCATATCGATCTGATGGACCTTTATCCCATTCTTAATAGTAATAAGAGATATATAGAAAAGCTGAAGAATTTTAGAAATAGTTTTCATAAAATATCTATGTTTTATCTTCTTCCAAAAGAAAGTGACTCAAAGAGGACCCTTCAGCTTAGAATTATACAACCTATTCTATCAAAAGTCATTCACAAAATTGAAATTTCCGATTTCACAATACACAATAAATGTCTCAAGAAAGCATTTGCTACTTTATATCTAGTCAAAGACATAAAATTCAACTTCTGAGATCTGCACACTTCAGATCTCCTGCCCTCAGCCACTCAGATCCCGTACAAGACCAGCACTCTTTCTTTGATTAACTGCAGGAACCCCTCTCACTCGCTTGGATGTCCGAAGGAATTCGAAGATGTATTTAACTTCATCAGTCGTTGAGGCTTAAGACATTCCTTGGGAGAGATCATTGTTAGGGATATTGATAGAGACCAGAATACTAGTGAAGAGATGGTAGAAAAATATGGGTTGGAGAATATGAGCATTAACATGCTTGCTTTTGGAGAGACTTCTCCTAGAAGACAAATCAAGAAGAAGAAATCTAAGTGTATTATTCAATAGAGTTCCTAGAGTTGGAATATGAGGGATTAAGAAAGTCAAGACGTAATTCTAAACCCTGAGTAAAATCCCTAATCTCTTAAAGACTATTCCTGGTCCTCTTTTAAAGGCTTGCCTTCAAGAAGAGAAGTCCTAGCCTTGAGGATGAAGGCTCTCAGCAAGAGATTTGGAGGAACGGGGGATTTTAGGGTGTCAAGGGAGTTGAGAATTAGGAAAAATGGGGTATGAGAGGCCTAGAAAGAGGTTCAGTCAGTGCTGTGGGCTAAGGGGTTTTGGGGTTTTGGGGTTTTGGGGTTTTGGGG